TGGAAGAGCTGAGACCAACATTTTAAGCTGATCTGGAATGGGGTATGTGTGTAATGTTTAATAACTGAAAAGAACTAAATCCAAAGACTGTCCTTGAAATATTGTTAAGGAATAGAACATATAGATTTGATTGTTGCAAGGGAGTGATTTCAAAACAAATATTTTATATGCACCTCATGAGGCGGACTGCTCAATAAACCAGTTACATATTAAAAATTATATTTAGAGGTATCTGAGTGGCTCAGTAGGTTAAGCATCTGACTTTGGCTCAGGTCATGATCTCGAAATCCATGAGTTCGTGCCCTGCATGGGGCTCTGTGCTGACAGTTCTGAGCCTGGAGCCTGTTTCAGATTCTGTATCTCCATCTCTCTCTGCTCCTCCCCCATGTATTCTCTCTCTCCCAAAAATAAAAACTTAAAAATATTAAAAAATTATATTTAGTACAAGGCAGGGAAATGAGGAAAGCTGTTCAGGAAAGACTCAGTTGATGGATCACAGATTATAAACGCTTTCACTTCTAGTCTTGATCTGAGGATATCCAAGTGAACAGTGAATATAAATCACCCTGAAAAGATTTCTGATGGAAGAACGTTCTACTGGACACTTACTTTTTTTTTTAATAAAGTCAATTTTGGGGAAGTAAACACTTCAAATATTATACTATGCTCTATTTATGGCCTCTCCTATAGATTTTTCAGGGCAATGATGACTAGGCTTTTGCTGAAGTGATTCACAGTCTTAGCGCAGGAGACTCTTTGAATGCCATTTGGCTGAATTGATGTTTGTGACATCTACTATTGTTCTTATCAGGGGTAATCAAAATACTTACGCATTAAAAATTCCACATCAGTTCTTTATTGTTACATTTATCTATCTACTATTTATTGAAGCTCTAAATGAGGACAGCTAAGCCCCATAAAGGCTAAAACATGAATTAGATACTGATCTCATTCTCAAGATGCTTCTAGCTTGGAAAGGCTCAAGATGTATGAAAATAACAAGAAGGCAAGGTGGAAAGCGTTGAATGGTACCTTAAAAAGGATGTGCCCTTAGATGGGAAGCCAGGCTCCTATCCTGAGCTCTGAGTTTTAGAGGGCCCGATTCTGGACCAGGGAGATATGCCCACCAGCAGCCGGAGTTTCCTCCCACTTCTAGAATATGTTCTGGGTATCTGACACCCCAGCCTTTACCAATCTTCCCAAGTATAGACTGCACACCTCCTGTATGCAGGGGTGGGCCAAGGAGTGGCCAAGGAATGACTACATGTAGGGACTATAACTATTACCACCTGTAACAGTTTATTAATTAATTTGTAACTTGTAATATTTAGACTATGTTGTGAGGGTCTCCAATTACTCTTGCCCACATTGTGGAGGCCCACAAATGTTAGGAGGCCCACAAGGTGGCCTGGCTATGGGAATTCATGAAGGGCAAGAACTTGGCCTTGGCAGTACCTGGGAAGCTTCGCTGGGGAGGTAGAGCTTGAATAGGCAGATCTGGGAGAAGGGAAGGAGGAAGAGGAATTTCTGGCAGAGGGGAACAATCACACTCAAAGACGTGGAACTGAAAGTGTCAGCTTGTATGTGGGAAATCTGGCTTTCCGTGCGGATATCAGGAGTGGGAGAGTAGAAACCAGGAGGCCAGATCGTAGATTGCCCAGAATGCCAGGGCATGGTGAAGTGTCTCATATTCTCAGCACAGGAGATCCATTTACATGGACTGATGTTCAGAACATCTAATATTCACTCTAGCAGGTTAGGGTCTTTGAAAATCTTTCTGTAGACAAAGGGGTGTCACTGTATGTTTGAAAATTTTGATCAGATCAACTTTGTAAGGAGAGAGTGCTGCCTTGCCATGAGGATGGTGAGTAGGGAGGCTGGAAAGGTGGAGACCATGAGCAGCAACAGTACAGGATGGAGCAAGGACAGTGGGCAAGATAAAAAGAAAATGTATTTGAGATAATAGAAGAGGAAGAAAGAGAGAAAGGAGTAAAGTAAAAGAAGAAAGTAGAGAAAGGAGTAAAAAGTGACTCCAAGACTTGGTACCTGGGTTCTAAAGAGGTTAGTGAAGCCAGTTAATGAAAAAGGTGATCTTTAGGGGTGCCTGGCTGGCTCAGTGAGTATGGCATGCAACTCTTGGTCTCTGGTGGGGAGTTCTAGCCCCACACTGGGGGTAGAGTTTACTTTAACAAAAAAGAAAAAGAAAAAAGGTGATTTCTATTGGAAGCTGGACACTTTGGACTTTGCATAGTCAGATGGTTGTGAGGAATTAAGTAATGTGTTTTACCCTACCTGGGGTTTCACTGAATTCTTTTTAGTTGCACCCTCACACCTTTTTTTCCCCAGTCCGAGCAGCTGGATATGAGGCTGCCCTTGCCCAAAGTAGGTGTCAGGTGGGACCAAGAGCACAGAGGTCAAGTTAAAGTCAAGAAACACTGAACACAAGTGTAAGTTTGAAGAATGCTTTTGAGTGAGTCTCTTTTAAACTTACCTTTTTTCCTTCTCCATACCTCCAACCTGAGACTATTTTTTTCCACTGACCTTTTTTTTGTAACAGCTTTATTGAGATATAATTCATACACCACAACTCACAAACTTACAGTGTACAATTCAATAGGTTTTAATAGTCGGAGAGTTGTGCGCCCATCACCACAATCTATTTTAGAACATTTTCATCTCCGCAAAAAGAAACACTGTGCCCTTAACTTATCTATGCCAAGCCCTAGGTACCACTAACCTACATTTTATCTCTACAGATTTGCCTAGTCTGGACATTTTGTATAAACAGAATAACATATGACCCCGAAGTCTGATTTCTTTCATTTAGCAAAATCTTTTTAAGGTTCATCCATGTTGGAGCAAGAATCACTACTTCATTCCTTTCCATGGCCACGTAATGTTTCATCGTGTTTATCTATTTATCAGTTAATGGTCGTTTGGGAAATTTCCACTTTGGGCTTTTATGAATAAAACTGCTGTGAACATTTGTGTGAAAGTTTTGTGTACATGTATGTTTTCATTTCTCTGGGATATATACTTCGAGATGGAATTGTTGGGCTAAAGAGCAACTCTATGTTCAACTTCTTGAGGACGTCCTAAAGTGTTTTTCAAAGGTTTGTGACATTTTACTTTCCACTGGGAGTGTTTGAAGGTTCCAACACCCGAAGAAAAACATTTGTGTCTTTGACCAATAATTATTGAGCATCCATTAAATGTATGGCATAGGACCGTGCAACATAGGGAATGATAGATTGTCATACAAAAATCCCCTGGGTAAACAGAAATCTCTGTTTCTTTTGATAGTCCCTGTTGAATGCCTTGGAAGCCCCAAACAGTAACATCATTTGTGTAGACAGAGGAGGATTTCTATCATATAGGAGGCATTGCTAAGTTGCTAAGTACCTTTTCCAAAGGAGAACACAGACATAAAGAGATCTGTCAGCTGCATGGTAGGGAAATGACTGGGCCCAGTTTATCTCAACACTTACAGGCCTTGAGCTAGCATTTCCTGGATTCTGGGTCTAACACTCTATTGTCTTCTTTCCTGCAGCCTTTCTAAACACACACATTTGGACATTGAGCTTATTCTTCTTTCATCTTCCACTGTATGATTATAAGTCTCATCCAAAACCGTCTATGAATTGTAAGACACGTAAGACATCTCTGAACTGTAATCTAATTTCTGGTCAGTTGCACGATGTGACATACATGTAGCGCTCTGCACGCCCTCAGTTCCTCTGTAAACCTTGCTCTGTGGAGTTGACTCAGGTGGCAATTCTTTGGGTTGCTAGTGTCATAAAAGAGTTGCCTTCTCCAGGTCTTCCGGAAAGGTAGAGCAAAAGACTTCGAAAATGATAAGATGAGGGGTACAAACACAACAGAGGAGTGGAAAGGTACCCTGCCACCACTTTCATTTGTGACCACAGGAGCTTTAACGGTCCGCAGAGGTGGAAGGTTAAACCTTGGCTTGGAGTTGAGGAAGGGCAGGAGGCGTGGCCTTGGAGACTTTAGAGAAGGTTCATCGCCACCGATTGGCTACAAAAACTGCTGGCTCCGCAAGTGATCTTTACCTCCACGGAGGTTCGAATCCACCTGGGCATCAGCCGACAGGTGATATGGATATATATATATATATATATATTTTTTTTTTAACTCCATATACTTGAGACAAAAGTCAGACTACATACTCCAAATAGAGGCAGATCCTTCCTTTCCTCCCTCCATCCTTCCCTTCCCTCTACCCCCCTCTTTCAACTCTCTTATTTTCTTGATTATGTATTTATTTTCTATTTCTATTTCCACCCCCCCCTTCACCTTCTTCTTCCTTCGTCAGTAAATTACCCCCCCCCCCCACCCCAGCGATCCGACTCGGGCTCCACCTTTTCATCTCCAAGCGTTTAGCAGGCTCACTCCACCGCGCGCATCTCCCGCGCCCGCAGGGCCAATTCGCACCCTCCCTGCCCCCTTAAGAGCCCAGGGAAAACGTCTTGGTGCCACCAACCTTCAGTTTCCCGGGCGAGGACTGTCGCAGCCCAGGACCGTAAGCTCCTAGGCGGCTAGAAGCCTCCCTCCGCCGCGCGCGGGGTCCCCGCCGCCCCCTCCGGCGCGGGAGGCGCACCGCCGCGCGCGGCTTCCCGGGTGGCCCGGCCTCCCCGGAGTGTCCCCGCCCAGCTCCAGCTCCGCCCCCGGCCGCCGCTCGCTGATTGGCCTTCCACCCCCCTTCCCCGGCTCCTCTCCTCCCCTCAGCCCAATGGGCAACGCCACCTGGTCCAAAAATTCCCCCGAGGGGACCGAGGGGCTCGGCCGCCACCGGCTCGGGCAGCGCGGCGGCGGGGCGCCGAGCGGGGAGGGGGGAAGCGGGCGAGGCGGGAGGAGGAGCAAAGGTGTTGGAGAGAAAACTTCTGAAAGGAACAGGAAACCTGCGGGGGAAGCGGCGGCTGCGGCTCTTCGCTCCCCACCCCCCCCCCACCCGGGCTGCGCACGTCGCGGGGCGTCCGCGGCGGCGGGTTCGCTCCGGGCCGGCTTCCCCGGCGCGGGGGGCAGGGCTGAGCCGCGTGCCCTTCGCCGCCGCTGTCGGCGCTGCGCTCCGTTCCGCCTCTGCCGCGGCGGCTCCCGGAGAGGGCGGTGAGGGCGCCGGGAAGAGGAGGGACGTCTGCTGTGGAGCATGAAGCAGCATGTCTGATAAAATGTCCAGCTTCCTCTACATAGGGGACATCGTGTCCCTGTACGCGGAGGGCTCGGTCAACGGCTTCATCAGCACCCTGGGGTAAGCCGGGGCCGCGGGCTGGGCAGCGCCCGCGCCCTCTCTCGCGAACCGCCGCCGCCCCCGCTCCCGGCGCCCGCCCGGGGGTGGCGGGGCCGCGCGGCGGGCTCTCTGCGCCCGCGGACAGCGCCCGGCGCCCGGCTCGCAGGAAGCTGCCGGGAGAGGCAAGACTTTCTCAGCGACTTCGTAATCTCAGGCTCAGAGACGCATCAGAAAAGGAGGAAGTGATTCAAAAGCCCCGAGACAGGCCCTGCGAAGTCTTCGCTAGCTTCTCCGAGGGTTGTTTTCGTTAAACGTGTGTGTTTTCCCCTGAAGGTAGAGCAGAACCGCACCGCCCCCGGTCGCGGCGAGCGACCCCTCGCACGCCCCCGGCTCTCAGTGTAGTCGATAGGAGTCCGTGGCCTTGGACGTGACACTCGGCGGTGTGCTGAGCCAGAGGGTGGCTTTGCCCCTGCGGGGGTTGCTCACCGTCCCGTCTTCGCTGAAGTAATTTCCTTTCGGCTTTGCCAAACCGGGACTTGCCGTCAGGGGTGGCCCGGGGACGACAACGGCAACTCTGTGACCCTTAGACGTCTCTGAGGGCCTCCTGGGTTCTAGAACGCAGACCTGCTTTCCCCCCGTCCCGGGCGAGGCCCACTGAAATCCTGAACTTCTCCTGGAACTCCTCCAAGTGCACGGCTCTCGAGGCTTGAGCTGACTTATGAATGGGGGAAATAGCTATGTAAACAGAACATGTGCTAGTTGGTTAAATAGGACTTCCTTGATTACTAGTATTTTCTCTCTGTCCTGATTGTGCATAGCAGCAGTTTAAATATGCACACGGCATGTATTTTGATGAGCACGCATTTTTTTTTTTTTAATTACCTTGTGGTCTCAGGACGGAAGACTGTCCAGTCTTTAAGATTTCAGGCGACAGAACTGGTGTTTCCACTGTTTTGTGCTGTTAGGTTTTAGGGCGCATGACTTAACATGCGGTGTCCTTGGACCCTGACTGTGAGCCATATTATAACGGAGCGGGTGACTACTCGACAGAGGTCATGGACGTTACCAGTACTTACACAGGTTGTGTTAACTGTGCATCTCCCCAGTGAAGGAGGGGAGGTAGATATAATTGATTCCCTTTAAGGTCAGTGTTAATTGTGAAACTGAAATGTGGAAGAAAAAATATCAATGGCTGGTGTGTGTGTTGAGTTTGTAACTCATGATCTACCATTTGTTCCTGACAGGATTCACAGTGTAAGTTCATTTTTGTGCCCTCAGCACCATTTTGCAGATGAACTCTGTTGCACTTAACCTTTCCCCACCATAGACTCTCTGGGCGGTGTTAAGCAGGAAGGGCTCCAAGGCCAAATTGCTTAGGGTCAAATCCTGGCTTCTCCATGTGTGAATCTTATGGCTGTAGGCAAGTTACAGAATTGCTCTGTATCTCAATTTCCTCATGTCTAAAATTGGGAAGAATGATGGTTTCTCCCTCACAGGGCTGTGGTAAGGAAGAAGTGAATTAATATATGTAAAGTGCTTAGCACAGTACCTGGCACCTAGTAAGCACTTATGTGTCAGTTATCGTAATTAGCACTACCTTAGTTACTGTGAGCAGTAGTTACACTTGTAGACAAAATAATAAAAAAGGACTAGGAATAGAATATAAAGCCTAGACAAACAAAAGGCCATGTTTTTGTGGTGTCTTATTCAGCATTAACAGTATTTGTTTATGTACCTATACACACATAGGGTTATATAGATGGTAATTCAGGAAGCTACAGCTTCAGCTGTTGTGGACTCTGTCCTGCTCGTTATAGAGATCAGGGAACCCAGGGGAAGAGAAACGAGGTGACTTACCTAAGAAACAGAGGATATTAATGCCAAATCTGGAACTGTGACCTTGTCTCAGTCACAGTTTGTGCCAGAGTGTGTTTCTTTTGTGACACATCATAATCTTTAAGCCTCGAGAAAAAGAGAACTTGACCTTTAATGTAGTGTATGTTTGTAAAAGCATTTATTTGTGTCCAGTATTTCTTGCCGGTGTTTTGAAAGTTGAATTTCTTCAGAACATGTATAGCACTATTTTTCTGTTAACAGACTGAGTCTTGTTCAGGTTAATGTGACAAGACCCCTGCTGCTCGATTTTGAGGTGAGGAAGGATCTTCAGAAATGTTGTCCTTGGTGAAGCTTTGATTGGATATTCTTTTTCTCTAACCTGTGGAGCTAAAAATTTGTCTTAAAATTTCAGACTTCTGTTTTAGCTCTTTATCCATTTGGCACTTTCAATAGCATGGTGGCTTTTCAAACTCAGCTTGAGAGAGTAGTTAATGAGAATTTAGTGGATAAGCATTTCAAGGTAATTCTTGGTAAAGATATTCATCTGCAAACAAATTTTGTCTGATTTTAACATGTAGTGTGTAAGGAAGTTTTGGAGGATACACATTATCATCATTTTGCTTTGGGGAAGTTTTACAAGGTAATGAATTTTTCTGCTGAGAAAACAATCAGTTTCATTCTCTGAGAGTTTAGCAGCCTCCTCTTAGAGATACTTCCTACTGGAAATGTGGGAGGATTTTCTTAGGCGCTGGGACCGAGCTTCTAAGCTTGATTTCTCAATGTGAGAAATTAGAATGCCCCAGTTGCAAAGATTTCCATTTCCTCTTTTTTTTCTCCAGTTATCCTTTAAGCAGTACTTACCTGACGTTTCTGAATCCCAAACTGTTGCTGACTGAGGCATTTTTCTCCCAGCTTGTTAGGTGCAAAAGGGGCCCAATTTGTATTTTCTAACTTAACTTTTCATCTAAACATCTATTTAAGAAACACTTATATTGATTTAAGGAAAACTGCTTTAAATCCTAGAGAATGAAGATGGTGAATATATTTTAAATAAATGCATTTTTTGCTAATGGTATGTTTTAGGGCTGTAATTTCTATATTTTAAAATGAAGGGAGGAAGTTTTGGGATCTGCTGTACAATTTCAAATGCAGTGGTAATTGTTCCTTCTTCCCTTTTCTATTTTCTTTGTCCTGAGACTCACTTCCCTGGTTGTTGCCTCATCTGACACGTCATAGTTCTGGGTCCATCACCTTGACCAGTGGTTTAGGTATCATCCAGTGAGAATGGGCATAGCAGAACTTCCAGGCCGGGTGGGATAGCATCAGTAAAAAGGTATTTAACTCCTTCATTGTCTCTTCTCCATATACTTAAAAAGTTAGTAAATGACACATGTGCATATGAGTGTGTGTGTGTGTGTGTGTGTGTCTATGTATGTATGTTGAAGTGATTGCTTCCTTTGACTTGAGGTTTCTTCTCAGAATCTACCAAGAATCAACAGCCACTAGTTAAAGTCTCAGGAAACTATCATTGATACTGTGACTGCAGAGCGTCATAATAATCTCTTAGCCAGAGTGGCAAAAGATTGGGGCCCTTATTTTTACTTGCTGCTTGATTTTTGGCCAATTCAGTGAACTTTTCAGTTCCTTTGTTTCCGTGTTCAATGATGGACGTTAAGTAGGGTGATGGCATGTCACGCAGTTTATCATTCTGCCTTAATTCCTCGGATGAATAAAACTGTAAATGCATACCTTTCATTGTTCCTGGTTATAGTCCCTCCACTTGCCCTTCCTGGTCTTTTTCTGTTAAATATTTTTGATATTTATTTATTTATTTTTATTTATTTATTTTTTTTATAATTTTTTTTAATGTTTTTATTTATTTCTAGGAGAGAGAGACAGCATGAGCAGGGGAGGGTCAGAGAGAGAGGGAGTCACAGACTGAAACAGCCTCCAGGCTCTGAGCTGGCAGTCAGCCCAGAGCCCGACGCGGGGCTCGAACCCACGAACCGTGAGATCATGACCTAAGCGAAAGTCGGACGCTCAACCGACTAAGCCACCCAGGCGCCCCGAAATATTTTTGATATTTAAATACTTGCAGATTTGATTTATTATGATCTTTTCTTCTTTTTGTCATTTGATTTATTATTATCTTTTCTTCTTTTTGTCATTGAATTATGCTACGCTTATTATAGTCTTAAAAATCTTTCTCTTACTAGGACCGTCTGATCAGTGAAGGGTCAAGTAGATGAAGCAAGGCGTGCTTTCAGTCTATTTTATTTGAGAATAATTTGCAGGTTATCTTTAGTCTTCCCAACAGAACCCTTCCAAGTTACCAGCCAGTATTTCCTGCTGTAACTAGCTATATAAACTTAGCTTTGTTTTGGCTGAGGCATATGTTATTGTGACTAAAAAAAATCTAAAAATCCATTGAATATTTGCACGCGTGTTCATTGGGGAGGAAGAAGACAGTATAATCTTGAAAACTCAGTTGTTTCGGAAAGTCAAAGGGTTAGTAGTGTCATGTTATAGAACTTGAAATCTGCTCAGGTACAAAGACAGTTTCTGAATGGTGAACATAAAGTCTATTTTAAGCTAAAAGGTAGACTGTTTCTTAAGCTTAGAAATCATTCCATGAATGACTTCTCTTTTAGCTTTTAGACTCTCTCTGTGGATAGCTCAGTCAAGTAAACAACTTTCCCTCCTCAAATGCCCTCGATGCTTGGCTCTGATGGATTGAAACTCACAGGCAACTGCTTGGTTTTATTCTAGGTTTAACAGAAGCTTTTTTAAAATTTTATTTTATAGGTAGCACATTTCATAATTACATTTTCTCCTTGGAACTGTTCTTATACAGATGGTATATAGGTAACTTAGAGAATATAGACAATACTGTAGACTCATCATTTAAAACTGAAATTCCAGGGGCGCCTGGGTGGCTTAGCCGGTTAAGCGTCCGACTTTCGCTTAGGTCATGATCTCGCGGTTCGTGGGTTCGAGCCCCGCGTCGGGCTCTGTGCTGACTGCCAGCTCAGAGCCTGGAGCCTGTTTCAGTCTGTGACTCCCTCTCTCTCTGACCCTCCCCTGTTGACGCTGTCTCTCTCTCTCTCCTAGAAATAAATAAAACATTAAAAAAAAAAATAAAACTGAAATTCCAGGCAGTGGGTGTGTCTTCATATATAAATATA